GAACATTACACTAAGGAAATGAGGAAGGGAGGGTCAGTGGAGAGCACCGGAGTTGAGTCTTTTTTCATTCAGTATCAATAAGAGAAAAGGGCAGGAAGAGACAATAAAGCCAATAATTAAAATGAGGTCAATAGGTTTAATTTTAACCCTAATTTATCGGGTGATTAATTGATTTATCGTTTATCGCACTTTATTTTCTTAAGTATGTGTTTATTAGCTGTCAATTGTGTCAAAATACCAGTTGAGAAAGAAATTTACTGCTTGTGAAAATCTAAACAATCTGACTATATTTTACCATCTACATTAGTCAACTTGAAATGAAGACAAACGGGAACAGCAGGGTTGTCCTGGTTTACAGATGAGGTATATATTTGCTTAAGGGCCGATGAAATGGATTTCAGAGATCCAGACACAAACACAGTTTAATCTGATGATTCTGGAGGATGTGTGAATAGGTCTGTCACCATGAAAGATTTTACTGTATGATAAATTGTTCCAGAAGTTCTCAACAAACGATAATATTGTTGTTTTGAGACCATTTTTTAAAGTAATATAATGATAATGATGAAATAATAATAATGCAAGAACACATTCTCAAAGGTCATTCAACTTTAAATTCTAATGAACATTTAACACTGGAACTGGAAGACATTTTTAATATCCAGAATAAATAAAACTAATGAATTTTGAAGTATTTGTAAACAAAGTTGCTTTTCAAAATAAGGGCTAGTCAAGACCGAAGTACCAAACTAAAGACTTTTATCATCCAGTTTTTGGTAGAAAGAAAAAAGAGAAATGATAAATCAGGCCAATGGAAATGATTAAATTTGTTTTAATTTATCATCCGATTAATTGATTTATTGATTATTGTGACAGGCCTATGTGTGAACATTAGACTAAATCCTTAAGTATGTTGAGAAGTCAACATAAATGAAGTACCTTTCAGTTTGTTATGGTGAATAAAGTGTAGCTGCAGATGATGTTCCTGCAGGTCCAGATCTACCTTCATTACTGCTGTAGCAACAAAATACGGTTTCAGTGATAATGACCAACATCCATAACTGCTATAATCTCCTGAAGATGCTTGCCGACTTCGGCATCATAAAACTAGATCAACCTGGGTTAAAGTTAAGACTGAAGACAGACGATCAAACTGTGCAGAGTGAGACAATAAAAATACACAGACTTAGCTCCCAACAGCTAACGTAGCATAGCTGACATAAATTTTAGCTCCCGCTAACAGAAACATATGAGGAGGGCAGAGTATCAAAATACCAGACATATAAAACGTAATCTGAAATCATTTATAATTACTCCATGTCTCATTATAATCGGAGGGCAAAGCCTGCAGGTTTAGCTCCTACTTACTTCAGAGGACAGACCACCGGGACGTTCCGTCTTCTTCTGGGTTTGCCTGGCTATTTTTCCGGTCAGTGAACCATTCCGCCACCCAGTGGTCCTTTTTCAGACCCCTTAGTCTCCGGTACTCCGGCTCAAAAATGCACAATACGTCTATAAATAATTTTAGGATATTATAAGGAAGTTCTGAGATCTACCGTTTTTCACTGAACTAATGTGTTTGCCACTTCGGTACAAGCACATTGAGAAACGTCAGAGGATAAAATCACTACTCAGAGCAAAACTCAGATGTCCCTGCTTTTAATAGCATGTAAATTCACCATCTACACACAAATCTGGGAGCTTCCC